GACGGTCCAGAATCCATGGCGGGATCGAGTTGGGGTGGCATCATCCTGGGGTCGTCTGGACGTTATCGTCCGTGGCCTGGGGCCCTCCTGGAAGCATGTAGTGGCCATGGGGCGTCTTGGGATCGCGTGCGTGGGAGCGCTGAGCACGCGCGCGCGCGACTTTTCATCTTGCTGACGGGTATACATACAGATTCTTCCGCTTGCGAGTTTCCAAGGAAACTTTTGTTGGAACAAAGTATGGGGCCACGAAACGCTGTACTGGGCGGGTGAAAATGCCAAATTGGGTGTGGGGGGCGCATGCGGGCGGTCCCACTGGGGGCTTCCGTGGAGCTCCCTATTGAGCCACGAAACGCTGTACTGGGTGGGTGAAAATGCCAAATTTGGCGTGGGGGACGCATGTGGGCGGTTCCACAAGGGGGTTCGGTGGAGCTCCCTCTGGGGCCACGAAGCGCTGTACTGGGTGGGTGGAAATGCCAAATTTGGTGTGGGGGACGCATGCGGGCGGTCCCACTGGGGGCTTCGGTGGAGCTCCCTATGGGACCACGAATCGCTGTACTGGGTGGGTGGAAATGCCAAATTTGGTGTGGGGGACGCATGCGGGCGGTCCCACTGTGGGCTTCGGTGGAGCTCCCTATGGGGCTACGAAACGCTGTACTGGGTGGGTTGGGTGAAAATGCCAAATTTGGCGTGGGAAGCGCATGCGGGCGGTCCCACTGGGGGCTTCGGTGGAGCTCCCTATGGGGCCACGAAACGTGTGAGGGGTGTGCCAAATTGGGTGTGGGGGACGCATGCGGGCGGTCCCACTGGGGGCTTCCGTGGAGCTCCCTATGGGGCCACGAAACGTGTGAGGGATGTGCCGAAATGGGCGTGGGGGACGCATGCGGGCGGTGGAGAGGAGGAGGGGGAGGAGGAGGAGAGGAGGAAAGGAACGCGGGGACCGTCTCTTCAAAACGAGGACCCAACACCACAGGATGGTTGGGAATAAGAAGAAGCGCCATGAGACGTGGGGAGATCTCATGGCCCCGGCCATGATATCCAACCCACCCCAGTCATCAGCCCCCTCCTGGCCGCCCCCGACGACAGGGGCATGCAGCACAAGAGAAGCTGCAAAGGCTGGAAATCGTTGGAGCGCTCCGCGTCGGGAATCCCATGGCGGCCAGCTCGACGGGTCGCCAGCGGCCGGGACGCCGGCCTCTGCTGCGGCGGCATCCAGGTGGTCGAGCTCCGCCTGCGCGGCAGCCTGGGATAGGACCGCCCGCTTCGTCGGACGCTGGACCAGGTGGATCCAGGCGGCCAGCTCGGGCCGCCGAGTATGCGAGACTGGAAAATGACCACACCCACTGCTTCGTGTTTGCGCCGCCTTCCAGCCGGCCGAAAAAGAAGCAGTGGTTGTGGTCATCTCCCTGGTGCCGGGCTCAACGAAAATGACTACAACCGCTGCTTTGTCTCTGCGGGCCGGAAGGCGGCAGCAAAAGAAAAGCAGCGCCTGTGGCCGTCTTCACGCCCCGTAGAGTAACCCGCGCAGCGGTGGGGTGGTGGCCTGGTGCGGTGCCGCAGGCCGTGGACTCCGCCAGCGGCTCGGTGGGGCACGGCGGCCCGCGTGCGCCACACGGCCGGGAACGCTTGCCTCTCAGCGTGCCGCAGCGACGGCCCCTGCGACACGCTGCGCCCTGCAAGCTGATGCTGGAGGCCTGGAGATTGGCACCAACACCAACACAGGGGGTCGCCTCCACAGGGGGAGGATGATCCTAGAGTTTCGGTGTTGGTGGTAATAAATCGGCCACCTTGGAAGCCAGAATACTGCCACCACCATCGAGATCGGGATCTCCTTCCCTCGGTGGAGGCACACCGCCGCAATTGGTGTTGGTGTCAAAATCTCTGGGCCTGCGATGGTGGCGCGTCGCTCTGCTTCGTGGGACGGGAGGGTGGGAAGAGCTGGGAGCGCTGACTTCCTGGGGACCGGCACCTGCTCGGCGCGTCGCGCCGAGGCGTGGTGAGCCAGAGCCGGCGGCGCGACATTCGGAGCACACGTGCCTGGCCGCACCTGCGCCTCCGGGGCGACGGCGCGGGGGGAGGTCGTGCTGGTGCATGGCACGAGTGGCAGCTTCATCAGCCATGCGGACGCGGTGCTTCCCCGTGATCGAGCGTGCCCCGGCAGCAGAACGAACTAGAGCGGGAGGGTCCCCGGCGGCTCGGCTGCCCTGCCCCCCTGCAGCGCTTCGAGCCCCCCTCTGGAGGAAGAGGGGAGGAGGGAAGAGGCAGCACAGGGCAGGGAGGAGGGAGGGGAGAGGTGGAGGGCGGAAGGAGCAGGAGCAGGGTCAAGATCAGGATCAGGAGCAGGATGAGCAAGGGCTCCCAACTTCACGCTTCGCGCAGCGCGAAGCGCGAAGTGCGAATAATTTCGCGCTCTCGCGCCGCGTCCTGGGGGAGAAGAGCAGGATGAAGAGGAATCGGAGCCGAACCGCGAAGCGCGAAGCGCGAATAACTTCACGCCCTCGATGGCGCCCTTGATGAGGAGCCCGAGGATCCGGGGAGACGATGACCGCACGATGGCGATCAGCGGCAAGGGCGGACATGCACACAGCGGAGGTTCGGCCGAGGCCCGAGGCTCTCGGAGGGCCAAGGAACAAAGTGAGAGGCGCCAAGGGCTTGTGAAAGTATCCTGCTCGGGCCGATCGTCTCCCCGCGCCACCCTTTCCACGGTGCCCCCTTCCAGTTTCACGACGTCCTCTCGCGCCCTCCGTCTCCCACCCTTCGCTCTCCGTGCATGCCATCCTGTCCCTCTCTCCGTCCCTCCAGCCATCCATGCTCCATCTGATTCCTGACGTTGCTGAAGCTCCTCCGTTCCAATGATCCTCCTCCTCCTCCTCCTCCTCCTCCTCCTCCTCCTCCTCCTCCTCCTCATCATCATCATCATCATCATCATCATCATCATCATCATCATCATCATCATCATCATCATCATCATGATCATCTATCATCATCATCATCATCATCATCATCATCATCATCATCATCATCATCATCATCATCATCAGCAGCATCAGCATCAGCATCAGCATCATCAGCATCAGCATCAGCATCAGCATCAGCTTCAGCATCAGCATCAGCATCAGCATCAGCATCAGCATCAGCATCAGCATCAGCATCAGCATCAGCATCAGAATCGTCATCATCATCATCATCATCATCATCATCATCATCATCAAAATCATCAAAATCATCATCAACATCAGCATCATCATCAGCATCATCATCGTTACCAGAAGCCTCATCCTCATCACCACCTTCATCAGTAGCAGCAGCATCACCATCAGCATCATCACCGTCATCACCACCACCACCACCACCACCACCACCACCACCATCACCTTCAGCGTCATCAGCAACAACAACAACAACAACGACAACATCACCATCAGCATCATCACACCATTATTTCTCATCATCATCATTCCTCATCACCCTGCTTCTCTCCATCTCTCACTCCCACCCCATGCCCTCCCCTTCGACCCCCTCCACTCCGCTCCTACTCCACATATCCCTCCATCCCTATTTGCCTCCTCTCCTCCCAGGCCCCATGCCATGTCCAACTCGATCCACGAGATCCGACGTTGCGAAAAAATGCAGGATCGCGAAAAACTGCACCTGGTGCCCTAGACCCCATCTTTCTGCGGCGTCTCTCGAGCCGGCTCAAGATGTGATGGTCCCGGGGCACGAAACTGGGCGAAAACGCCCAGTGCGCAGAAGATATGCAATGCCGGGATCTCACGGCTCCCCCCCGTCCCTCCTATTCCTCCATCTCCGCCGTCGCCCCCCAGAAACCCACAGGGCGGAGTGGTGGGCCGACTAGGTGGCGACATCCGAACCCTTACCCCGCCAAACACCGATTCAGGAGAATAGGTGGGCGGCGGGGAGGTAGGATTCGGATTTCACCACGGGATCGACGAATTCCGAACCGTACCCCCGCCGCCAATCGAGTTGCCTGAACGATTGATCGGCGAGGGTCGGGTCCAGATTGCGCCGCCGACCCAAGCCACAGCTACCTCAGGCGGGCGCGCGCCGCGCCAGCGTAAGCGCGTCAGGGGACCGAGACCAGGTTCTGCAGCGGGAAGGACGCGGGATCCCGCTGCCGCAAGGGGAACAGACCTCGGCAGCAGGAAGCGAGGACGGGGAAGAGCGTCCCAGAAAAGAAACGCCCGAGGTTGCTGAAATTGCCCCTGGCCCAAAGTGGCCCCAGTGTTTCGTTCCACTTCGGAGCCCCTGGGGCCCTGCAGGAATCTGCTATTAGAACCCGCTGTTGAGCCAAACGACGGCGGACGTTACACGCGGGTCCCCGTGCACGCCGCCCCTTTGTTCAGCCTCGGCGGGCACCACGCCCGCTCTCGCAGGCCTCTCGACAGACACGACAACGTCGTCGCAGCCGTCGCAGCACATCATGACACCATTATTGGATGAGTCCTTCTCGCCATCAGCCCAAGTCGTATCTCACTTGTTTCATCCATGAGTCCACCCGGGAACCACCTGGAAGCTCGGCTGCGCCAGGTCTCGACGGCAGGTGTATTGGGAATGGCTGCTCCTGCTCCGCTGCAGAACGCGCGAGTGCAACTCCTCCCGCCATTTCTGGGTGTTGTCCATTTTGATGCTGTCAGTATGGGTGGCCGCCAGCTCAAGCACGGTCTCGTTCGTTGCGTGGATGAGGCTCGCTGTCCATGAGCACAGCAAACAGCATTGCACCGACACGATCAGCAGCAGCACAATGATCATCATGAGGAGAGTCGTCAACATCTCGCAGGGGATGTCATTCTCGAGCGCCGCCACGCTACACACAAGAATTCCGTCGTTCGTCTCGATTGCCGCCAGGCCAGCCCCCATGGCCTCGCTTCGCGCCAGGGCTGCGGCCAGGGTCAGCACTCGAATCGCCATATGGCTGGCGCGCAACACTGCCGGGGGATCTGATCGCCATCGCAAGGAGCTCTTCACGCTGTTCGTTTTCGCCACTGCCGACCATGCCGCTCAGCATCAGCAGCTTGAAGAAACGATCCTCGGGATGGGCTTTCGCGCGCCCAGATCGCCCAGATTCTCCTCGCCGCTGCACGCATTGATGCGCGGGCCGTTGCGCCGCTCCTGCTGCGCCCACAACGCGCGCACATCGAGGCGCTGCGCACCACCCACGCAGTCGCGCAGCAGCATGCCATCGGCCACAACGCTGTCTACCAGCAGGGTGAGAGTCACCTGGTGGCCATGCCACTCGAACAGATGCCAGACCACCCTGCCTTCCACGAAGCTGGAACCGCATGACATTGCTCTCCTCGACGGGTCGTCGGGAGCGTAGCTCGTGTCCGAGCAAAGGTCGAGCGAGATCATACCTGGGTGCCCTCGCCCAAAATGGAGCAGGCGCCCGAACTCGCGAGTGGCGTTCAGGCAGCGGATCACCTTGACCACGCACCGCCTGTCGAAGAGCCGCGGGTCCTTGAGCCTCCTCGCCGCGAGCTCGGCGACCCGCCTGACGCCCCAGCGGTCGGCGGCCACGCAGCAGGACGCCCACTCCACCTCGGTCACGAGCCGCGCCCTCGTCGTCGAGCTCGCTCGCGCCCTGATGATCCTCGTCATCGTCAGGGCCATGGCCAGCCAGGCTTGGCAACTTGCGCTTTTGGTCTTCTTCATGTCGCACATGCCGAGCAGTGTGTCCACGCGTTTCGGGTTTACGCGGTTCAGGACGTGGTCGCGCAGGCGCAGACGGCCCCTGCGAAGGTGGCTGCATCGCTCCTCGGCGAACACGTCCGTCGTCTCCAAGTCGAAAATCACCCGCGACTTCGCAGCGCACTTCGTCGCCGCACCCCCTGACAAACAGCCGTGGAAGGACCCCATGTCGGCCTCGATCAGCATGTTGTCCGCTCGCCTGGGGTAGAACTGCAAGATCGACTCGCATCGTTCGAAGTCCTCCGCCGAGAGCCGTCTGCTGGCCATCTGCACCAAGCCGGCGCGCGCAGCTCGCTGTCCTGGAAGCATGCGATGCAGCTTCCAGGCGACGTCAGAGTCCATGGCCATCTGCTTGAACACATCGATGTGCTCCGCTGGCGGCCGCGCGCAGACCTCCTCCGCCTGCTCAGCCCGGCAGCACGCCTCCACGCGGACGGCGCCGAACGTCGCGCAAACCACCTTGAAAGCCACCACGCCGATCGTTCTCGCCGTATACCCCGCCGAGAATACCGCGAAGCAATCATCGCGCGCCGCCCGCCACTTGAACTCCCGAGCCACGCAGCGACACCTCGATTATGCTCCAGGCCTCTGCTGATGCCCCCACCTCGCGCAGATCTGCTTCAGGACCTCCTCAGCCGCCGGCGAACTGGGGATGTCCTAAGACTCCGTAGCACTGGAGCAGCAGGATGGCCTCGCGCTGCTCCAGACCCGCGCCCGCCACCTCCTCAGCGCTACCCACGAAGGCCACGAGCTCGATCTCGCCCAGCGTCGCGAACGCCACGCGAACGCCCTGGGCGCCAAGTCCAGCGGCGCGCCCACGCCCGCGGCTCGGATGGCCGGAGCTGACGCCCGTGCCTTCGCCATCGCTCCTCGACCGTAACCTCCCGCAGTGCCGGAGCTTATGCCCGTCGACTCGCTGGGCCGACTGAAATGGACCCCGCCAGCGCTGCCGCTGGAAGCGATTACGACGCAGCTGCCGATGCTCCATCGGCCGCGCCGCCGATCGTAACGTCCTCCGCCTGCTAGGCTCCCGCTGCCGGGGTAGCTGGCGCTGCCGCTGGAGTTCCCGGCGCCGCCGCTGCCGCATGGACCTCAACTCCTGCAGGAGTGGCGGGGGCTGGTGGAACCTCCGGTTTGGCTGCCAGCGGAGGGCCCGGCCCGGCTGCGACCCCCGTCGGCGCGTCCGCGCGGTCGCCCTGCAGCGCGGCCTTCAAGCTCTGCGGGAACGCCAGGTAGGAGCGCGTCGCAGCGGCTCGAGCCTTCTCACTGTCCGCGCTCGACGATAGCCTGCGGTGGCCAGGCATGCGCGGTCGTCGACCCCCGCGCGCTCGCCGACCCAAATGCCCTTTACCACCGTCGAGCCACCCATCGGCGCGACCACGCCCGCCGCGACGTCACGCCGGTGCGAGACCGGCACTTCCAACAGCACCATCTCCGCGACGGGCAGCACTTCGCCCGCGCGGCCGCAGCCGAAAGCCGCCACGCAGGCCGCGCCCGCCCACCCGCTCGGCGACGGCTGGCGCCGGCGATAATTTCGCGACCTCTTGCGACTAGGGCCAGATCACGCCATTCGCCTCCAGCTTCCCCCCATCGGTCTCCTCCACGCGACGCTGGCAGGCGCGGGCGCGGCGCAGCCGCCAGCGCGCGATCGCCCCCGCGGCCCCGCGGTTCGGTGATCCCCGCAAGCTCGCATCAGTCGCGCGCGTCTCGTTCGCTGGGCCCCCTTCTTCCGTCGGCCCGCCCTGACCGCCTTCGGCGGCCCCTGGACCCCAGCCTCGCCGCCCGCACTCAGCTCGACCCCACCGAAACTAAGCCGCTTGGGGAAGCTGCGCGCCGCGCCCATCATGCGAGGCGCCTCGTGATTCGACCCCGCGCAGACTGCCTTGAACATGTTAGCGCGGCGGGCAAGCAGAATCAGGGTCACGCCGAGGCGATCAGCTTGCGGCGATAGATCTCTAGGCCCAGAGATCTCTCCGTTTGGTCTCGCCATGCGCCTTGCTTGTCGCGCGTCATCTTGCGGCGCGGCCCCGACGTCGCGCCACCGCGCCGGCACGCCACGACCCACTCAGCAGACTGGATGCGCAACGCCTCGCGCGCAGCCCGCCCCCCCTGGCGCCGGCCCCTGCGGCGCCAGCGCGACTCGAGGGCCGATCGGCCCAGAGGCAGCGACGGCTTCATCATGCCTCCGAACTCCTTGAGCCCATCCACGTGGATCTGGCCGCCTGCTTCAGCCTCCGAGAGAACTACCCACAGCTGCGCCTTCGTTCCGTCGCAGGGCTGGCTGAGCTCCTTCGGCCGCCACTGCAGTCGACCACGCGGCTCTCGGGATGCAGGACTTGATCAACGGCCTCAGATGCCGGCGCCGCGGCAGCGCCCTCAACTCCGGGGGGATGCGCCTCTGCCTCGGGCAGCCCCGCCTCAACCACCACGATCGCCCCAACTGAACGGCCCACCTCAGCTGAGCCCCAATCGCCGCCATGTTCTTGTGACACACACTTCCTGTCCACGTCGCGCGAGCCTTGGCGCCCGCGCGCCTGTCGACGACGTAGCTCTCGATGCCAAGGGCACTATTCACCATGCCCAGGCGGATGTTCTCGCGGTCGCCCTTCAGGCGCATCGCACGGCCCCCACTCGAACTCAGCCAGGAGTCTGCGCCAGTGAACAACACTTACATCAGGGCCATGAGCGGGTTTCGCGATCGCCGGCGCCCCACGGAAGTTGGACTTGATCAGCGACGCCCGCGCCTTGCCGACTGGCACCATGGGCGCTCGCACCGTGCCATCATAAAGGATATCCTGCCGCTGAGCGTCGTGTAGTACTGGTCCGTCCAGTCGCCCACGCTGGGCTTGATCCGTAAGGGAGCTCCTTGGCCAGCAGCGAGCATCTGCCGTCGAGTCGATCGCCGCGAAGTTTTGGGCCTCCACCGCGCAGCCGTCATCGTCGTTGTTCGTAGCACACGTCGTGCTGCGCGAGATATAGTCTTGATCCTCGATTGAAACGGCCATCAAGCAGAAGTCGTCATCGGTGCACTGGCACTCGTCCTCGTCGAAATCTCCATGCCGAGCTCGATCGCCTGGACGTGCCAATCCATCATGGCTGCCACGCGCGCCTCTGTTTTGCCTCTCATATCCTTCTGGACGCGCCCTGTATGCTAGGATGATCGTTCGACAATCCTGGATCGCGTGACCTGCGAGGCCGTAACCGAAGAACTCCCCCGTGAGCTGGCCTGTCTTGTCGCGACCTTGGGGATCATCTAGCTTCACCTGGACGCCACCAACACTGAACCCTGCCGTGCCCTGGCCTGAAGCACAGCTCTCACTTGCCGTTTCCTTTTCTTTTGCTGGACTCTCTCGCGCCGCCGCCCTTGACGATTGCATCGATCTCTACCGGGGACGCGCCTCCTGAGCTCATCATGTTTATGCCTCTCTACAGCACGTTCTCCCACACGAACTGTCTCAGCGTCGCGTAGCTCAGTCTGGCGTCTCTCGTCGACGCATGGGGCACATCGTGTATCGGGCCAGGGCATGGGTTAGCACAGTCGCAACCTGCATCTTGTCCGCTAAACGCTTTCAACTGGCCAGCTCGTCACTTGCCCCCAACTCGTCACAGGACAGCAGGACGTCTGCGAAGCTATGGTTGGCGTGATCAAGGCCACGCCACCGGGCCGGGGTCTGCACCATCGACAACATACGGGCATGATCCTCCGCCACGCCCCTCTGTACCGACAAAGCATTGCCTCGAGATCGTTTCCTCTGTGAACCAATTTCAAAAACGAGAAAGTTGGGCGTTTCACCTTCGGCGCGAGGAAGTAAAACAAGGCGCAGTTCCTCGCCCGAACCTCCTCGCCGCTCTCGTCTGTGATAGGGGTATACATGAGCCCTTGCTCGATCCACCATGTGGCCTCACCCGAGCAGGCGTGAGTAGCTCTCGAACATGAAGGCCCATTGCTCGAATTTCACTCGATCTCCGCTGAACGCGTCCAAATTCGTTTCTGGACGAACGTTTAAAAGCTGCCGTCGTTGACCTGCCATCGTCTTGGCACTGCCCGATATGTTTCTCACGTATGGCACTCGGCCACGTCCACGTCTCTGTGCCGATAACCTGCTCACTGTACTCGCCACTCTGGTCGTCACCCGAGCCTGTTATCGGCGGTCTCGCCGCCGTCGAAACCACGCGCTAGCAGCGCGCAGCTGTCACCATGCACGAATCTGGGAGCGGAACCCGCCCCGACAGCGGAATAGAATCCTGTCAAACCAAACAACCGCTGAGCGGACGCTACACGCACGTTCCCGTGAAGATCCTCTGGGCCTCGTGCAGGGTGTTTTGGGGGGCCTGGGGGGGCTCTTTGGAAATCCTGGACACATCTTGGCCCAACAACAGGTCTGACAACATTCAGAAACAGGGTCGTAACGAGTTCGATTGCGAGGCCTTCTGCCCAGAGGTTGCGCGCCTTCTTACAGAGGCCTGGCTGAATTTCCCAACAGCCTGTACGGCAAGCTCGTGTCGTGACGACCCTGGCGCTGGTTCCTGACCCTGCGCGGATCGTTCAGCCTTGAACGATCGGCGTCTTATGATCGCAAGATCATTACATATTGGCCGACTCTGAAACACTTCATCACTGCGGTCCATCATCGCGACCGTTGTCATCGCCATTATTCACCGTGCGGCTCATCGTCGCTGATCCGCCACCGTACCCGCTAGCACATCAGGGCGTGGAAGAATGACAGGGGCTGCATAGGTCACTATGACAATCACGTCCTCGGTATCGAACCTGTGTGGTTGGGCCTCGCATCTGCAAAGCGCCGAGAGTTGTCATGATTCTGGTGTGCTACATGAACTCGGTCATCACGACTGGCTTGCCCTGCCCAGGCCACTCACGTACACATCGTATCACCTCAATACAGATGCCCCATCGGAGGCACGTGGGCGTTCACCGTGTTCGCCCGCATGTGCCATCCCCTCTTCGCCTCTGTACCGCCGTTCTGGGCTGCTGGAGGAATGTCCTGGACTTCGCTGCGGAGCTGGCGCCCTTGGCATTGCCACTTGCTATTAATCTCAAGCCGACTGCCAGATGGTGCTTGTGCGATGGGATCGTGCCGACACCCGTGGTCAGGGTGGGTGATCCTTTCCACGGTTGGCGCTTTCAGCGTGGAGCCAAAGGCCTAGGCAGGCACTTCTACATCGTTGGCGCCAGCGGGGTCGCTGCGTCTTCACCAAGTCGCTTGTCGCTGAGTCACAGATGTCCCCCAGCCGACGTCTATCTGCTCCTTTCCTTGGCGGAGTTCCTCTCCTACGTGTCCATCGGCGGCTGCGCCGCCGCAGGGTGCCCAGCTACACCTGACAAGGAATTCACACTGAGGAGGACATCAATATTTCACACATATTGAATGTGCGAACTGCATACAAAAAATTGAATTTCCTTCACGCCAAACCATGTGTGGATTTCACATACATCCTGGCGTGAAGGACATCACTGTGATGTCCTGCAGTGTCGAGACCAGTCTTCTCTTCGGCCATTCCTTGTCTTCGGTACAGTTTCTGTGGACCCTGGCCCTGGATCAGCCTGGCTCACGCGCAGTAAAAGAGCAGCACTTCTCAACACGGCGATCCCAAAGGCCTCGACCCATTCCCCGGGCGCGGTTCTTCATCCTGAGGCGTTCTCTGACGGTCCCCGAGCCCAGTAAAAGGCCCTCGGAGGCCGAAAATTCGCCGGCCCAACGGGCCAAGGGCGTGCTAAGATCTCCGGCAACTGGTTAACAATATTCTAGTTCGCGCGCGCGGGGCCGCCCCTGGGGGCCCCCGGACGAAAAGTACCCCGGGAGACCCCCGGGAGACCCCCGGGACACCCAAGAGGCCCTAAAGAGGGCTCCAGGGCCAGCGGAATGAGCGAAGCGGTTCAATAATGGAAAACCTCCCGTCGTGATCTTCTCATGCCCCGAGGGCTCCAGCGAGCACGCCAGGGTCCCCCACCGCTCCCCCGCGCCTGCTCTCGTGCACCGCTGCCCCTCCGCCCCTCCCCGCGCAGGTCCGCTGCGCATGGACGCGAGCACAGGGCTCGGCATGACCAGCCGGAGGCGCGGGTGAGAGGAGGTACACACCCACAGCACGAAGAGATTACTGACAAAGCCCAGCCAAAGCTGAGTGAACACCCCCGCTACATCCCGATTTGCCCCCCACGCAACCTCCGCGTTCCAACAAAAAAAAATGGGGCGGCGGTGTCTGCCCCCTCAGGGGCGCTCAATCCAATAATGGAAAACCTCCCGTCGTGACTTTCTCATGCCCCGAGGGCTCCAGGGAGCACGCCAGGGCCCCCCGACCGCTCCCCCGCGCCTGCTCTCGTGCACCGCTGCCCCCTCCGCCCCATCGAGCGGCTCCGTGGGCGCCCCGACGCGTCCCCGGGGGCATCCGGGGCTCGCCACCAAGGGCGCGAGCATGTGCATACGGGGAGACGGCCGAGGGGCCGTTCCTGTATGGGGTCCGTTGGTAGAGGTTTCTGTTCCTGGGCGCTGCGCAGCTAGCAGAGCGCCGAGCTCAGCTTACCAATACCTGGGCCAATACGATTGCGGAGGGGACGTCATACGGAAGCGAGCGGGCTTCACACACAGAGGATGGCCCGATGCTGCCCCCAAGACGCACTGAAGGGTCCCTAACAGGCGCCCGATGCGTCCCGAGAGGCCTCGAGCAGGCGCCAAGACGCCCCGAAGATGCTCTCCAGGAGGCCCTCCAGAGGCCAGAAGCACGGGTTCCCCGTTCAGATTTTCAGTATGTGCTTCGCTTTCCCCGCCCTGCGGCCGAAGATCGGTTCATTTGCGGCCTTCGAGGGCGCAAATGGGGCCCACTGAGAGCCCCAAAATGGCCCCCAGTCGGTCCATGACAGCCCGAAGAGAGCTCCAAGCTGGCCCAAGAAAGCTTCAGGAGGGACCCAAGACAGCCTGACAGGGCCTTCAGGAGGCCCCGAGACGGCCCCACGACGGCCGCAAGAGATCCCCCAGACGGCCAAGAGAGCCCCAAGGCGGCGCAACAGGGGCCCACGACGGCCCAGGAGGGCCCCAAGGGACCCCAGCAAGACTGCCCCGCGGGAGCCCAAAAGACAGCTCTCGGACTGTTCAAGCAGTCATCATGAGAGAACCTCGAGGAAAGGAGACGAGAGGTGTCACAGATGACGGCATTCTGGGCAGTGCTCGCAGGGTCGCCAAACAGAGTGCTTCGCTTGCACGGCGGAGAATGTGCCGCAGGCACCTGGATACAGATCCACCTGCAGTCCACGCGATACGGTGACGTCAGAACAAGGTGTGTCCATCGGCGTCTGCAAAGCGAGAAAACCAGTTGTTCAACTTCAAATGCAAAATGCCCAACCGTATGTGTATCCGCGCATCTTCCGCTATAAAAAAACCGAGCGCTCAGAAACAAATACTTCACATCTATAGGCCTGGCCGGCGAAAGGCGACCAGCCTGAGAGTACAACTCAGCCAGTCGACGTATAGTTCTCGACCGTGGCGACGACGACGCCGCCGACGGCTCCGATTCCAGCTCAGACTACGACGACGATGAAGACAACGGAGGCTACGTCGTTTTTTTCACAACGTCGACCCCCAAACATCTGGACCCCTTCCCCGAGAGCAGTTTTTCATTCCGGGTCGTTTCTTACGGCCCCGGGGCACCGCGAAGGGCCCCGGAAGCCGAAACGGCCAAAAATCGCCATCGTGGTTTTTGTTTCACGACGCAAGAACTCCGCCGCCGACGACGACGACGACGACGACGACGACGACGAAGACGACGACCACGAAGAGGCCGAGGAGCCGGCGCGGGTTGCTGGCGCTCAGGATGTCCTCGTGCATCAGGAGCTCGTCCCCCTTGGGGCCACCCGCCGGGATCGAGAGGGGGCGGGGGGCGCGCTTCCCCCCCCCACGTCCCCCCGCTGGAGAGGGAGAAGGGTCGTTTCCTTGCTCCTCCTCCTCCTCGTCCTCCTCCTCCTTCTCCTCCTCCTCCCTCTTCCTCCTCCTCCTCTTCCTCATCCTCCTCCTCCTCCTCCTCCTCCTCCTCCTCCTCCTCCTCCTCCTCCTCCTCCTCCTCCTCCTCCTCCTCCTCCTCCCTCCTCCTCCTCATCCTCATCCTGTTCCTCCTCCTCCTTCCTCCTCCTGTGGCACGAATCGGTTCCCTGGACGTGGATGGTGTTAAAACCGCTGGGGGCATGTTTGTTCCGTTTGGAGGTCCGTTTTTGTTTTTCGCTTGGGGGTTCGCCTTCGCGCCGTTCTTGGTTTTCGGTTCTGGGTTGGCACTGCCATAATTTTTGTGTTGGGCCGTCGTTGTGCTTTCCCGTGTGGTTTGGCCGAACGCCGACAAGTTGGAACAACAAACACAAGAAGAAAATGCTAGCCAGCGTGGACCCCGAACAGCGATACTGTGGTGCAACATATGCGATACAATATATCTGTGGTGGAAACTACCTGCTGCAATATTTGTTGCGCCACCTATGTTGTGCAAAATGCGTCGTGCGGTCTATGTGGTACAATATATGTGGTGCAACCTATGTTGGGCAATATATGTGCATTGATCTACGTAGCGCAATTCACCCTGCCGAAATTGAAGTTGTCCACTCCTCTGCTCGCGCAATTATCCCACCCACCCACCCGCAACGAGATTTGCAAAACCCATGCGGCGGCGATTGCGATGACTGCTTGGCGCTGGCTGGCGCATCGCTGCGACCGCGCTTGCACGCGCATGCTCTCGCGCAGAGCGGCCAGCTAGTCTGGCGCGACCGACGCGGCCGCGTCCCTGCGCGTCTCGCAAGCCGCGCGAACGCGCGGGCACACGGGCGGGCGCGGCATCATGGCGACGCCGGCAACGGCAAACACGATGATGATAGAAACTGGTGACGATGATGACGATGACGACGTCACAGCATTATATTACTGCATGGCATTTTTCGACAGGAATAGTGTCGATGACGATGATGATGTCCACGCGTGGAATATGACAGTTTTGGAAGGATTTCGTTGTGCGCGCGCGGCCGACGGGCGCGAGTGGCCAGCATGGCGTCATTGGACAGGGTTCGCCCCCACGCACACACACACACACACAAGCAAGCAAGCGCGCAAGGGCGTTCGAATGCTTTCGACATGCGCACGCGAGAGGCCCGCTTGGTCGTATGTGATAAGACTGTTGAAGAAGAACTCTTGTTTTTCATGGAAATTCGCCAGGGCGCGCGCGCGCACGCGCTGACCTGACGGGGCGGCGGCGGACACAATATAGCCGCCAGATTGACAGACAGGTCCAGCTCCTCAAGAGGAGAAGTAGGAACCCCTAAGTGCAAGCAAAAACAAAGACCAAAACGAAACAAAAGACAACAAAAAAAACAGCGTTTTAGGAGGAGGAGGAGGGTAATCAGGAGGGGAGGGAGGATGGGGACGACGAGGACGAGAACCACGTGGACTTCGAGGGCGAAGACCTTGTAGCACGGGCAAGAATGGTATCCAGGCCCCTCCTAGAGTCCATCCTGGCCGCTTTGTTCGAGCTGCGTCAAACCGCGACGCCACCAGAGAGCTCCCCAGGAGGCCCCCAAAAGAAGCGACGTTACTTAGCAGGCAACTGCATGTGAGCCCTACCCCTGCTGGTCAGACTTCTGAAACGCCTGGTGGGGTTCCGAATTTGAGATGCGCTTGCATCTCAGGGAGAGTCCGAGCAGGCGCGTCCGATACCCCAGCGCCGAGTGGAGCCACGAGGGTAGGGCGCGCAGTGGTCGCAGAATACTGCGGGAACGAACAGTGCCATTAAATGATCCCGGCAAAGCAACCTAACAGCGATGTGTAGGAGCATATCTGGAAGCGTTCTCCTTAAGATTCAGATGAGAATCCGTTTGTAGAATTCTGCTGTTCTCGCAGTCGTAGTCGCATTCGCGGTGACAGTCGCAGTGGCAACGGCAGTCGCAGTCACAGCCTCAGCCTCAGCCTGCCTCAGCCTCAGCCTCAGCCTGCCTCAGCCTCAGCCTGCCTCAGCCTCAGCCTCAGCCTGCTTCAGCCTCAGCCTCAGTCTGCCTTCAGCCTCGGCCTCAGCCTCAGCCTGCCTCAGCCTCAGCCTGCATCAGCCTCAGCCTCAGCCTCAGCCTGCCTCAGCATCAGCCTGCCTCAGCCTCAGCCTCAGCCTGCCTCAGCCTCAGCCTCAGCCTGCTTCAGCCTCAGCCTCAGTCTGCCTTCAGCCTCGGCCTCAGCCTCAGCCTGCCTCAGCCTCAGCCTGCATCAGCCTCAGCCTCAGCCTGCCTCAGCATCAGCCTGCCTCAGCCTCAGCCTCAGCCTGCCTCAGCCTCAGCCTCAGCCTGCTTCAGCCTCAGCCTCAGTCTGCCTTCAGCCTGCCTCAGCCTCAGCCTCAGCCTCAGCCTGCCTCAGCCTCAGCCTGCCTCAGCCTCAGCCTCAGCCTGCCTCAGCCTCAGCCTCAGCCTCAGCCTCAGCCTCAGCCTCAGCCTGCTTCAGCCTCAGCCTCAGTCTGCCTTCAGCCTCAGCCTCAGCCTGCCTCCTCAGCCTGCAGCCTCAGCCTCAGCCTCAGCCTCAGCCTCAGCCTGCCTCAGCCTCAGCCTCAGCCTCAGCCTGCTTCAGCCTCAGCCTCAGTCTGCCTTCAGCCTCGGCCTCAGCCTCAGCCTGCCTCAGCCTCAGCCTGCATCAGCCTCAGCCTCAGCCTCAGCCTGCCTCAGCTCAGCCTCAGCCTCAGCCTCAGCCTCAGCCTCAGCCTCAGCCTCAGCCTCAGCCTCAGCCTGCCTCAGCCTCAGCCTCAGCCTCAGTTCAGCCTCAGCCTCAGCCTCAGCCTCAGCCTCAGCCTCAGCCTCAGCCTCAGCCTCATCAGCCTCAGCCTCAGCCTCAGCCTGCCTCAGCATCAGCCTGCCTCAGCCTCAGCCTCAGCCTGCCTCAGCCTCAGCCTCAGCCTGCTTCAGCCTCAGCCTCAGTCTGCCTTCAGCCTCGGCCTCAGCCTCAGCCTGCCTCAGCCTCAGCCTGCATCAGCCTCAGCCTCAGCCTCAGCCTGCCTCAGCATCAGCCTGCCTCAGCCTCAGCCTGCCTCAGCCTCAGCCTCAGCCTCAGCCTGCTTCAGCCTCAGCCTCAGTCTGCCTTCAGCCTCGGCCTCAGCCTCAGCCTGCCTCAGCCTCAGCCTGCATCAGCCTCAGCCTCAGCCTCAGCCTGCCTCAGCATCAGCCTGCCTCAGCCTCAGCCTCAGCCTGCCTCAGCCTCAGCCTCAGCCTGCTTCAGCCTCAGCCTCAGTCTGCCTTCAGCCTCGGCCTCAGCCTCAGCCTGCCTCAGCCTCAGCCTGCCTCAGCCTCAGCACCAGCCTGCCTCAGCATTCAAAATGTGGCCCAGGAATGGAGTTCTGGGAACTCGAAGAACACGAAGTGGCCTACAGTTGGCTCCGGGCATTCAAAATCATGCCCAGGAATGGAGTTCTGGGAACTCGAAGACCACGAAGTCCCCGGATTCCCGCGGCACCCGTCCGGCATCTGCCCAGACCCCCTGGGGAGTCATGATGCTCTCTTTTGAAACCACTAGAAACCTATCAGTCTTCGCTGTTAGGTAAAAATCGGAGGTCCGCGCGGATCTCTTGGATCCGCGCTGGACCCCCATTCCTGGCGCGCGGAGCGCGCCAGGGGCGGCGCCGGAGGCGCCGCCAACGGGTCCAGCGCGGATCCGAGAAATCCGCGCGGACATCCGAGTTTTTATGTTTATGTCATTGTTCGTTTCGGCGGTGGACAAACATCCCTTTACTAAACCTCCCCTCAGTGAAAACGGCCTGGGACCGAAACCGACGGACCCGGACCCGCACCCAGGACGGCCGCGACGCCCCCTCGCGAACCGAGAAGGGCCAATTCACGAATCGACGTGCCAGGGTAGGAGGTTTATCCACCCCCGATCGCTCCCCTCAACTCGGCTACACGCAAGAGTGACCCTGGGTAAGATTGACCTTTGGTGCGCAGCTTTTTGTGGACCTGGGCGCGCAAGCCGCTGGTCCTGCTGCGTTCTCGGCCACCTGGGGACCCATCTGCGCCCGCACCAAAGGTCACTCCGGCGAAAGGTCACTCTTGCGTCTAGTCGATCAACACGCAGGAGGCCGCGACGCCCCCTCGCGAACCGAGAAGGGCCAGTTCACTAATCGACGCGTCAGGGTAGGAGGTTTATCCACCCCCGATCGCTCCCCTCAACACGCAGGAGGAGGAGGAGGAGGAGGAGGAGGAGGAGGAGGAGGAGGGCCTCGTAGTACGCGTGCACGAAGTGCTCCCGGGGCCCCTCCAGCGCCGGCGTGGAGGCGGACTGCTGGAGCAGGCGGCCGAGGCCGCCCCTGCCCCTGGCCGCCTCGGGCCACTGGCCGGCGGGAGCCTCGGCGCGTGCCGCCGTCGCCGCCGCCGCCGTCGCCGCCGCCGCCGGCTCGAAAGGTCGGCGCTCGACGCGCGATGGTCGAGGTGCTCGTGGGCTTTCGGTTAGGGGGCCACATGCGAACCCCACCCCTCCCCCTCAGAAATCGTGGGGGGTAGGGGTGGGGTTCGTATGTGGCTCCCTATCGGTGCCATGTCTCTGCCTCCCGGAAGCCTCTCGACGCCGCGGTGGGGAGTCTCCCCGACATTCGGGTCGGAGCGCACCCGGGGAAGCGTCCGGGAAGGAGCGGCACCGATTCGGCATCGTCGCCATCATCGGCGTCGTCGCACTCGGAGCCGGAAACGGAGCCGTCGAAGAGTCGTCGGGTTCGGTTGTCGGAAACGTCGTCGGCGGCGGCGTCGTCGTCATCGTGGAGCTCTCGACCGGTGCCCTGAGACCAGTCCTTCATCCCGCGGGATCGGTCGTGACAATCCACGGGTCCCGAAAAGGGCCTCCAGAGACCTACGCTTACAATATACGTATGTGCAAATGTTAACGAGCGAAGACCCCTAACAATGTATTATTCGCAATGGTTTGTCAACTCCACTGCTCGCGCAGTCATCCCACCCACCCACCGGCAGCTTGGTTTGCTAAGCCACCGTGTCGGCGATTGCGATAACTGTTGGGCGTTGGCTGGCGCATGGCTGCGGCCATGCTAGCCTCCGCAGGCTCGCGCGCACAGCGGCCAGCTAGTCTGGCGCGACCGACGCGGCCGCGGCGGCGCTGACCGACGGGGGTTCCCTAACGCGTCACGCAGGCCGCGCTGAAACGCGGGAACTTCACTGCGAACCGGTGATTCGGGCGGGCGCTGTACCATGGCGACGTCGACAACGGCAGACACGATGATGATAGTAGCGATGTTGGTGGCGATGGCGACACTGAAGTCGGCAATGCCAACAACGGCTCGATACTGGCCGCGTCGACGACGACGACGATGATGTCCGCGCGTCGATGATGAAAGTGGTGGAAAAATTCCAATACGCGCGCGGCCGACGGGCGCGACTGGCCCGCATGGTCCTATTTGACAGGGATCGTGCCCCCCCACCCCAAAGCGCGCAAGGGCGTTCGAATGATTTCGACATGTGCGAGCGGGGGGCCCGCCTGGTCACACGCAATGAACACGTTGGGGAAACCAATGGCTTCGGCAGAAAAAATCGCAAGAGCGCGCGCGCAGACTTTGTTAACAAAATACCTTGAACAACAATTGTTACTGATACGTTTTCGGGCACCTGGCCCTGGAAATCTCTACCAACACTAAAAAAGTGGCTGGGGATTCCGGCATGCGCGCGCGACGCCGCGCGCGCGGACATTGTCTGATCTGTTGCACGGGATTCGCGCACCCAGCACGCGCGCAAAGGCGTTCGAGCGATTTCGCCACGCGCGCGCAAGAAGCCCGCTTCGTCGCATCCGATGAAATTTCTGAATCAGAGAAAAAACGTTCGAGAAAAGAAACGCGATGGCGCGCGCGCAGACTGCTATGAAAAACCACGTCGCCAAACCAGCGGAGGTGATATGTGCTCGGGAACCTCGAAATAGAAATGATTACGAGGTCTACTGAATGCTTGAAGAATTCGGGCACGCACGCGCGCTAGCTCACGCGCAGAGCGGCCAACTTGTCGGGCGCGACCGACGCGGCCGCGGCGGCGCTGACCGCCGGAGGCTTCCCAGCGCGTCTCGCGGAGCAGACCGGCGCGCGGGCGCTTCGCGGCGAGTCGACGACTCGGGCGGGCGCGGCATCATGGCGACGTCGACAACTGCAGGACACAACAAGAACAACAGCAATGCTGCCGACGATGGTCACAATCATGACGGCAAGGCCAACGACGGCGGCGATGCTGCCTACGCCGATGACGACGACGATGCCCACGCGTGGAATATGACAAGTTTCGGAAAGATTTCGGCATGCTCGCG